AAAAGGTAAAACAGCGCTTAGGATGCGCCCGGAAGACCCCGCACACACTGGCACAGGCCTGAGGGATGAAGCAGCGCGTGGCACGCGCCCCCACGTACCTCCACGCGCTCACATGCGCTTGGGAGGTGCTGTGGTGCGTGGCACGCGCCTAGAAGGCGCGTCAGCCAACAACCGCACGTGAAACCACGCGCCTGGGATGTAGACTTGCCTAGCGCGTGCTCCTCACGCGCCAGGGATCATGACTTTGATTGGCGCGTGTTCCGCACGCGCTAGTGTGTTGACCTTGACTGTAGCACGCGCCAGAAGTTAGTCTGGTGTTCTCCTCCGCGCCCCTTGCCGCCGGCAATGCCCCGGCCACCGAAAAATCGCCGTTAAATTCCAGAAAAAATTTAAAAATTCCAGAAAAATTCCGAAAAATTCCAAAAAAATTTCAGAAAATTCCTGAAGCCTAATTTAACCCTTTTGGACCTTCTTGAAGCTTCATAGCATCCTTTGATACATATTACATGGCTTTAAAAATATTTACAATTTGAAATACAATGGAAAAAATTAAATTATATCATTGAACTTTTAAACGGCTAAATCAAAACCTTAATTACATTCATCCAAAGATAAAATTACATTTATTTAACCTTTAAGCTTCATCCATGACCCAAACATACATCATCATCCATTCACAATTATACATAGATCATCATGTATCAATATATATCAATATATTAATTAATACATCAACATACTTCAATAAATAAATATATGCATATCAAAATTGGATCCATGAATGATGAATTTTGATAAAATCATGATCTCTAGTAATGAATCAAACCATGCTTTGATACCACTATTGGGAAACGTGCAAGTTTTAAAAACTTTTCGAGGGATTTTAATTCATAGATCTTGATTCATCACATAGAGACAAGTTTTATGCAAAAATAAAATATAATGTATCATTCAATTAACAGATTGAATACTTACATCAAAGGTCTGAATAAACCTTTAAATCTTTCCTCTAAAGTGAATGTTCTCAATTATTGTAAATCCCTTAGCAAGATGCATTCTCCTTGAATCTCCATCTTCTTGATAATTGTTTTGCATTTAGGAATCACTTATAAGCCTCCATGAATGACCTTGAAAAATTAAGCTTGTGGGAGCCTCCATTAGATGAGAACATAAACCCTAATTTTCTAGAGAGAGAAAATATATTCCTTTTTCCTTCTTTCAAAGATCACACCCTAAAATATACATAGACCATGTATATTTTTAGGCAACATAAAGATAAAGAAAAAGAAACAACAAATCCTTTTCAATCTCTAATTCACATGTTTCAAATCTAATAGGATTCCAATATCAAGTTGGGCTATGAGTGAGAATCATTTGTGCTTATTATTTTATTGGCTACAATAAATTAATAATTGGCCCGGTACATGAACCCAATTCAATTAATTCATAAATTAATTTCTACTCCACTAAAAGAAATTAATTGAACTCCAATTAAATAATAAATAACCTCTAAGTCAATGTTGCACTTTGACCCCTCTATGCATAATTAATTATCGAATAAATAAAGCCATCAATCCGACTACTTAATTAATATATTTATTTTGGTACCTTTGATTATATCTGACTCGATCACAATAAAACATTTGTTTGACAAAAATAATAATTTAAATAAATAAATATATAATAAATTATTTTGTCTAAAAACACACGAAAGCCTTCGAATTTAGTTTGTAATCAATCATAATCAATACAAAATAAATACAAATAGCAATGATGCAAATATTGAAAATATAACCATCTAACTATTAATTACATAACTACCCAAAGTGTCAGTCTAAGGATCCCGAAATATCCGCCGAACAAATCAAAGTAATTATTAATTAATAAAAGAGTTTATAATTTTCTCATACTTAAGAGTCAAATGCCATGACGGTGATAGGGAGCAATTGCATACGACGGCTCTCACAATATATCTCAACCTAACGCGAATCCAGTTTAAGTCTTAATTAATTATAAGTCCTTCCATAATTACCGGCTATGAACAATTTAAGATTACTATTTATATCCATGTATTGATCGCCATCACATACATATATAAATATCTCTTGTAATCAAGTGTACACTATCAATTCTATAATGAATTGAAACATAATATATTGAATTCATCAATTATATAAAGCATAAATATTTCAAAAACGTCAGGAACATATGTCACTATAATCCAGATGAGAATTTGTTATGCCAGGACATATAAATCCCAACAGGCCTCTTGAAGTTTGGCGAAAGTTATTTTTTTTTGTTCTCTTTGGCGCCACCTTAAAAGGATAATTGCTCTGTGCATGTGAAACACGAAAAACTACATGTACTCAATAATGAATTATAGAACGTCTTAAGAGGCCGGACATTTCTATGGTCAAACAAATATATGTTTATATATATGTTATAGTGATTTGCAACGGCACTATTATTAAATATAGGGTAAAGTGCAAAAAACCCCCTTCAACTATTGGCCATGTGCAATTAACCCCCCTGAACTACAATTTGCCCCCTTGAACTATTGAATTTGGTGCAATTGACCCCCAATGTGACATCTCCGGCCAATTGGTGTAAACGGAAATAGTAAAAGACAATTTTACCCTTATAAAAGAAACCTTATGACCATGGTGACATGGAGGGGAGCTTCAATCAATGATAGACATACCCACGCTGAACCGTGCCATGCAGCTTCTCCGGCGACGGCAACCCATTTTATTAACTGAGTCGTATATGCGCTATGGGTTGAGCACCTTAATCACGAAGCTTCAACGGCATCAATGGTGGTCGCGAGATAAGAACGACGACTGGTGTGATTCAGTGCTTGCCGGTTTCTAAAATCAATTCAACCTCTCCGCCGGGAACTCCCAGTCGTCCCAACACGGCTTCTGGGCAGGAGCATTCAAGACGTTCGAAAAGCCAACAAGCGGTTTTGCCTTTTCCTCACGATCTCTGTTATGATGGTGCAAACAAAGGTCCTGGAATTGATTCCACCCGATTAAGAAAAATTATTCAATCAAATATGCGACAAAATGGGTTCATTCGGCGATGGAGCCACTAGTTATTCCTACGGTAGTGAAGCAGAAGCTGAAGCCGAAGAGGTGGCAGTGGCTGCAGGTTTTGATCTACACTGTGAGACAACCACCACCACGAACACCAAATCCAAACCCCAAATTGAAAGCCAAGAACGCACAACATGACCACCGGTCTTGATTTGCAGGTGGTTACCAAATCGTCCTCAATAAATCGATCTACTGCAGTGGTGGCCACTGCCGTTCCATCCCGCCAAGCCGCGCCGCGCCGCAATCTCACAACCGAGCTTCTTCTTCCATCGCCGGTCAAACCCTCACCGGACGAGCTCTTCACAGTCGACCCCTCCATCGTGGACGAGCTCTTCACAGCCGTTCCATCTCGCCGAGCCGCGCTGCGTCGCAATCTTACAGCCGAGCTTCTTCTTCCATCGCCAGTCAAACCCTCACCGGACGACCTCTTCACAGCCGACCCCTCCATCGCAGACGAGTTCTTCACAGCCGACCCCTCTTACTCGATTTTGGATTTTTTTTTTTTTTTGGATTGTATATTGTGTTTGGGCTTTACTTAGGCTTTGTTTGGTTGCGGCTCAAGCACTATCCCGGATTAGACAATAATAAGGGTACATGTGTCATTTGATTCACTTAGCTTAAAGGGTTGTATGGTCATTTAAAAAATTTTGAATAGTCACGTGACCAATCATGTGCGTCTTTACGGTCAAATTCAACGGACTTGTCCCCGGACGGGGTTAATTGCACCAAATTGGTTAGTTCAAGGGGGTTATATGTCAAATTAATAGATCAGGGGGGTTTTCTGCTTCATGGCCAATAGTTGAAGGGGGTTTTTTGCACTTTACCCTTAAATATATATATATATACATCCCAATTCCCACATCAACCTATCACAGCTAAGAAGTTATTCAAAGTTGAGTGCAAATGTTTTAGTTGGTGTCTCTATAAAAGGATTTGGGTTTGGCGTAGTTTGGCATATATGCGGTTGCTGAATCCCTCGAACTTAGATATCCAGAAAGTAAGAAATGGCAAAGCAGTTCTTTAGGCCTGTGTCCAGTAACACCCTCCATATTTCACACACACAAAATGGAAAAACAGATTAAAATTTGGGGAAGATTACAACAAAAACTTTGAAAAAATTTACAACAAAAATTCGACCATCCAAATATCACAAATTTATAATTTTAGGTGGGAAATGGTGTCAAGAAAACCAAATGCATTCAAAGCAATACTCCATTACAAGTTTACCAATTGAAAGAAAAGCATTGGGCTAGTCTGGTTCAAATCTCCGAAAATGATTTCAAAAACTCCAAAGAGAACTAAAAAATAGTCCTCTTAATTCAGGCGCCTTTTTAAGTCAATTTTCATATAAACTGTCAACTAAACGAATTTTCAAAATTCATCCTTTTTCAAACACATTGCTTCTGATAAGAAAAAATGAAACCCATCTCATTCTATGGTTTCAAACTCATCTTTGTGGATCTGTAAGCTTCAATTTTTGGTGGAACATCACCAGCACTGCCTCCTTACAACGAAAATTATCTTCAATCACATTATAGTTATCCTCAAAGAAAAAAATAAATAAATAAATAAATAAATAAAGGTACAGAGATTTACTTGCAACTCCCAGAATGAATGTTGAGGAAGAAAGGTCAACATAGTTACGGTTGCTGGAGGGTGCTTGGCATCGAACCATGTAAGATATGTATCCAGAATAGGTGGCTCTCACCATCTTCAGGAGGGACTAGACCTTATGGTCACAGCATGGTAGAAGAGGTTATATGAGATTAAAAATAACAATTTCAAACGATCCCAAGAATGCAACATCGATAAAACTCTGATTGGCAGATCAGTAACCAAACAACACAAGGGAATAAACTGCACAATGTTCAAAAGATACGTCATTAAGTTTCGTCGAAGCCAGTCTCAAGAAGGCTTGAATGGCAATTTTGTAATGAGATTAAGAAGGCGCTCATGATGATCGTATTGAAGGAGGCCTGTTGAAGGTGGACCTCTAATTAGCTCAGAAACCACACAATTCATATGAGCAACATATTCGCAATCCAAACAGCAGTATACCCAGTAGTTGGGGTCTCCCCTTTCCTCACAAATGTCACAGTAATACTCATCCGAATCATACTCGACAAGAGTGCTGAAAGTGAGAGGATGTCTATGATGTTTATATCTAACCTTATGCGGCAACAAAGCACATTTGAAGTCAAGATCAAGATTGCACACGTCACATTGAAACACTGTGACACGACAATCGTTCCCACAAGCTATGCAGCTAGTCGAATAGGGTCTTTTGCGACGGAGAGAAAGAGGGTGCTGATGAATTTCATTTACAAGGGTGATCGGTATTGAAGCACAAATAGCATGGAGGTTAAAATAGCAGGAATTGCAATGATAAGTGAAGCCGTCACAAGGTTCGTCACAGGCATTGCACCCATAGGTATTAGGTGGTGCTCTGGAGAGAAGGGTGAGAGTGTGTTCAGAATGAATTATATGATGAATCTTCTGGGGCAATTCGGCACACCATCTGTGTAGAAAATAGTTGCATTGCGCACAACCATAGCCCACGCCAGAGATTCGTCCCCAGCACGCGGAGCAATGTGCTCCATCCTTTTCATGGTCATTATTGAGGGTTAAGGGATGTTGGTGGCTGAAATGTTGAAGCTCCACAACATTACAGTTGACATTAGGATACATTGGCTCGGCCTGTTGAACCTGTAATTCCTCACATGCTTGACTAGACTGAGCATTTTCCATGATCTGCAGCTCACTGTAACGACGCCTCAGTTTAGTAAGCTCGTCATCATCAATTAAATATGATTGAAACTCAAATTTATTATCAAAACCTGAGCCTGATAGATCAGTTTCAAGGTTTAATTGATGTGAAGTTTCAACAGATGAAGGATCAACATCTTTGTATGAAAGCTTGACAAGGGGCTTTCGAGCAGAGGTGAGGCAACCCAAATGGGCAATGTAGACTCTCTATACAATCGTAAACACACCCTTCTGGGTTCACTAACTCTTCACAAACATCGCAGTAGACTTCCTCAGGTTCTTCATCAACAGAACGAGTGGTGACAAGGATGAAAAGATGTTCATCTTGCTCACGTATTATAGTTAATGGTAAGGCAGAACACTCGACATGAACCACAAACTGACAGCCCTGACAATACAGGTTGAAATTCTGACCAAGGTCACCACAGACCTTGCATCGAAATGACAAATCTCTGTTAGGCGGCGATACAGAAAATGTGAGAGAGTGTTTGTGAATTTCAGGATCGAAAGTGAGTTGTTTTGAAGCACAGTGGAGGTGGAGGTCGAAGATATAGGTTGCACAATGGTAGGTGAAGCCAGAGCAAGTATTTTCACATTCATTGCATGTATCTTCTTGGTTGTGGTCATTGTGAGGTGGTTGGGGAAGGAGAACAAGAGGATGTTTTTGGTGTAGAGGATGTAGAGATTCAATGGGTAATTTGAGGCACGATATATGGAGGAAAAAACTGCATTTGGGGCATCGATAACTGTATCCTGATACGGGTTGCAGGCAAACGAAGCAGCGAGCTTCAGCACCTGCTAGCACCGATCTGAGGTGCAACAGATGATCGTGCCACAAATACTCAATGGTAGCCATCTATGTTACATGGACTCTTCAAAAGTAATTAAAGTACTTATGTTGAACACACACAATACTCAGACCCGGGTATGGAATGTGTTTGACACTTTCGGTTGAACAATCACCTGAAACAGACACTTTTGGTTAGTTGAACATTCACCTTAAAAACATATCTATTGATATAGTAATTATATAATATTATTGCTTCAAAACAAGAGAAATGTGTGTATTAAGCCCTATGTAACATAAAGAAACTATTATATTCTATAAAATTGAAATACTATATAATATGAATATTTAAGAGTGTCCATGTGTCTTTTTGTTTGGAAATATGATATTTCAAATGGATACGTACCCGAACTTCACACATACCTGAGTCTAGTGAACATGGAGCCATCTCTTTCTCACCCGGACAGAGCTACTATGCTGCAAAGGAGAAAGAGGGGTGAGAGATTTAGAGTTTGCTTGGTTTGTAAGTATGGAAACAGTGTTTTGTTCTCGGATAATTAAACACAAAAAACTGTACAAAAAACTTTTCTTGGTTCAGTTTTCTAAAAATTGTTTTCTGAAAACTCAATTATAAAAATGTGTGTTGTTAGTGAACAATCTTTTACTATTCCCGTTTTCTGAGTTTCTGAGAATTGTTTTCAAGTTACAAACCAAGCACGTCCTTAGAGTTTGGGTTTCGACGGGATGAGAGGGAACGGTGGTGGAGGATTAATCAGAGGTGGGAAAGCTTTAATGACTTGATAAGAATAAAAAAGGGAAGTTTTTCTGGGTCCAGAAAAAATCTTCATTAATGATCTGTTTCACTAAAATTCTAATATCTCAAACATCAATAACTACTAAAAGAAAAAAATACTAAAATTATAGATCATACTGAAAGCAGGGGGAAAAAAAAAAAAAAATTTGTTTGACCAAATTGTTTTTACAGTCGAAATTCTTACAACATTTCCTTGAAACAATAATGGTGCATGCGTATATTTTTCTGCTTAAAAATAAAAATAAATAAATAAATCTTTGAATGTCCTAATCTTTAAAAAAAAAAAAAGGTGACCATGATAACTAAAGGTTAAAGATTATTATTTTTTGTTAGATTCTAGTTGACACATGGGTTGTTGATCTTGATTCTTATTTTATTTTGGAGGTGTTCAAAGAGAAACATGATATTTTTTTAGGCTGAATGAATTAATCACCTATATCTGTATTTTCTTTTCCAGAAAAAAATTTCAGCTTATTTAAAATAAAAATAAAAAGGCTCATAATATTAATTAGCAGAAAAATAAAGAAAATTAGACACAAGTGTTGACATCTACATAATTTTAGGTAAGATAATTGAAAAATAAATAAAGGGAAAAGATAAATTACAGTTCCAGTAATACCCCCTTGGTAATTCGATGGTTTGAGACTCGATTCAATTACAGATTTAGAGAATGGTGTTATGTCTGAAAAATTGTTGCTCTCTAAACTGGGGTTTTACCGATTGAGGCCTTGGATTCAATTACAGATTTAGAGATTGAAGTTCAGGAAAAAAAAAAAAAAAAAAAAAAAAAAAAGAAGGATTTTTGGGAAGAAGCTCAGAAGAACAAACAGCAGCGAAATATATATATATATATAGTATTGATCTCTTACTCCCCATGGAGCATGAAAAATCTTCCGCACTTTTTATAGTGACTATTAGATTAAATCTAATGGTCACATTCCAAACCCACTTAAATATTTTTCTTTTAATATAAAACCACTATCATTATTTCTACTTTCCAATTTAATATTGACCAATACAATTAATTATAACAATAAAAGGTAAGTACTAAAAAAATAAAAATAATGATAGTATAATAATAGCAGTATTAAAGAAAATACTAAAAAAAACAACTAATTTACAAAGGAAATATGAAATTTCATATAATAATAGCATGTTTTGTCGTGAATCTCATCCTTACGTCAATAAATTTTTGTTATTATAGTATAATTAGAAAAAAATATATTGTGTGACAGAAAAATAAATTGAATTTCTAGTTTTAAATAACATGTATTTGGGGAGGTATACAATAATTTAAATTATAATCTATTAAATTTTTTATGGGTGAAGTTTATGCAAATCATAGATTACACTAAGTTGATCAAGTGGATAAAAAAATAAAGATTTTATTTTTAATTTTTAATTTTATTTTTTAGTCGATGTTTCATTATTTTGTATGTCAATAGTGTAAATTTTAATTTATTTTGCACACTCAAACCGACAATGTCAACTTTAGTATTGGTGAGACGTGATTTCAAAAGGTGAAGAGAATGGTCACATTCTAAACCTACCTATACGTTTTCCTTTTAATACAAAACCACTATCATTATTTATAGTTTCCAAATTTAATATTTACCAATACAATTAATTATAACAATAAAAAGTAAGTACTAAAAAAATAAAAATAGAAATCTTTTCACCTTTTGAAATCACGTCTCACCAATACTAAAGTTGACATTATCGGTTTGAGTGTGCAAAATAAATTAAAATTTACACTACTGACATACAAAATAATGAAACATCGACTAAAAAATAAAATTAAAAATAAAATCTCTATTTTTTTATCCACTTGATCAACTTAGTGTAATCTATGATTTGCATAAACTTCACCCATAAAAAATTTAATAGATTATAATTTAAATTATTGTATACCTCCCCAAATACATGTTATTTAAAACTAGAAATTCAATCTATTTTTCTGTCACACAATATATTTTTTTCTAATTATACTATAATAACAAAAATTTATTGACGTAAGGATGAGATTCACGACAAAACATGCTATTATTATATGAAATTTCATATTTCCTTTGTAAATTAGTTGTTTTTTTTAGTATTTTCTTTAATACTGCTATTATTATACTATCATTATTTTTATTTTTTTAGTACTTACCTTTTATTGTTATAATTAATTGTATTGGTAAATATTAAATTGAAAAGTAGAAATAATGATAGAGGTTTTATATTAAAAGAAAAATATTTAAGTGGGTTTGGAATGTGACCATTAGATTTAATCTAATGGTCACTATAAAAAGTGCGAAAGATTTTTCTTACTCCATGGGAAGCAAGAGATCAGTACTCTATATATATATATATATATATATATATATATATATATATAAGTACAATTAGAATGAGAGAGAAGCTCACAGATAGCCTTCAGTAATTGTCACTGCCGCGACCAATACTCCCAACGCCGAGATTTGTCGAGAGCGGTCACGTCCCCTCGGCTTTGGAGCGCCCAACAGCCGTCACATACATCTTCTTTGCTACTAAAAATTACTGACTGTTTTAGTGAGTCCTACCGTGTTTTAATTTTTAATGAGTTAGTAATATAACGTGATTAATGCATAGTAATAAAATATTTTTTATTAAAAAAAATTAATTATTTATTAATTGAGTAATCATACAATTTTTTAAGTGGTAATTAAAAAATATATATTTTACAAAAATTTTAAAGTTGAACATTCAATGATAAGTATAGACCTTGTCACTTAAAATTTTATTATATTTTAAGTGCCGTTTTTAATGGTATTCAAATTCTGTTATCAAACACACTTAATTGGATAAACACTTAATTTTGTACAAATTAAGCACTGAATTAATTAATCAAACAATACTTAAGTCATATAAAGCAGAAGCAGAATGAGAGCGAATTCAATAACAGGAACACAAAAGTTACAAATAGTGAGAACATGTGCAAAATGTGAGCACGTTCGAAACAAGAGAGTAACAACCCGTTGAGAAGGATTGTGTGACTTGAATCATAAATCTCTATATTGTCAAATACGATAAATGCGAATGAATATCATATAGTGCAACATCTACACTCCCAATTACAAAATATTTCATTCTTTGAATTCGGAGAGTGTATCATTTTTTATTATTAAGTAGCATAGTACTCCATTTTATTCACAAAAAGTAACCACATTTCTATTTTTGAATATTCCAAAATAATCGTCTTTATTTTACAATTCAATTAACTATTTTTTATATTACTAATTTACCATCATTGCCACGATGCTGGATGGGCATCTCATGTGGAGTCCCATCATTTGGGTTCGTAGTGTCAAGGGTGAGGGACCTGTTGTTTTAACGCTACGATATCGGGGCGCAAATCACCACTAAACAGGCCCTAAATTTACGTTTGGCAAATTACATTATTATTTATAAGTAATATTTCATCATTATTTATAAGTAAAATCAAATGATCTAAAAAGTAACATTGAGTCTAAAAGTAACATTACCATTTATGTGCATACTTTAATTTAAGGACGAAGATATACCACCATTTATAAGTAACATTTCACATCATTTTTAAGTAATATCACATGCTCAAAAAAGTAATATCACAGGAGTCTAAAAATAACATCACCATTTATGTGCATACCTTAATTTAAGGGTGAAGATATTTATAAATGGTGATGAAATGTTACTTATAAATGTTGGTGTAATTATCAAACACAGTATGTTGAATTGAGTTATATTTGCATGTGACATTACTTAGTCTGTATTATGTGCATAACATATTTTGTGTGCGAAGATACTTATAAATGGTGATGAAGAATGATCCAAACGCTATCTCAATTCTACTCAAACGTTGCCTTAAGAACTATTAAATGAAAAATAATGTGACAAAATATAAGCCACTTAAAACTCACAGCAAAGACTGCATAAAAAGCACACAGTAGAGGATTTGCGCCCACGATAGTGTCAACACTTTATGATTGTCTCGGATGCCGAGTTGTTTTCGGGACACTTAATGATCGACTGAGATGCCCAGTTTTTTTTCCGGACGATTCCCTTTGATCGAAAAATTGAATCGACTGCCTGCTCCCAGCATCCAGACTGGATTGCATCTGAACCATGATTTCTTAGGGGAAACTTATATACATTCCCATAGCCGACGCCAATTGTTGATGAGAAATTTTGCAGAACTAGAGAAGAGAAATGGTGACCAGAATTGGCATCCGTTTGTGATGCATATCATGCATTCATGAAAAGCAGTATTTAAAGAAAATAGGGAAAATCATATTCTAGAGGATATAAGCTGTTATGCATCTACCTCAAACAGTTATTTTTGCACATGACATGTTAAGTTTTCTCATTTTTCTACTCTTTTCTTTTCTTTTCTTTTTCTTTTTAAAATAAGAGGGCGGGGTTTTCTCCCATGACATTCTATAATGTCATGTGATTTAGCATTTTGAACAAGTTTGTTGCATTTTCAGTGGCATTACACACTAAAAGATACTGTAACCCTTTTAAGAACCATATTTGTTGTTACAAAGTTTGACCAGAGATTCAAATGAACCAAGACATTTGGTACAAATAAAATTTATTAAAACAACAAATGAGAAAACATCTGTATAAAAATTCTACAAGAAGAAGAAATTAAAGTGGGCACTTCTAGTATTACCCAAATAATATTTCTATATAAAAAAAAAGGACTAGTAAAATTATGTAAATGCCTACAACTTGAACATCTAACTAGGGTTCCAGCCATATAACATTCCGAAGCTATAATGAACATACTTGCCTGGCTCCCTTCATAACTTGAAATGTGTTAGAGCAGAATTCCCATCAAGTCCTTTCGAATCGTAGTAGGTAATGAAGTCTTTCACTGTGGTTTCTCTGTATATAGGAGGATTATCTTCTGATAACAAGTCCTTGATAGGGCCATATATCTTTGTTGATGGATAAAGGTGAGGAGTGAAAAAGCATGCCACGGATATTCTCGGACCGAAATGGTTCGCCAACACTCGGTGCTCTACGCTTTTGAATTTGTCATTAGAGATTAGCTGAGAACAAACATAAGAAAACTCAGAACACGATTAAAGACTTCCCAAAAATTACTAGCACATCACAATCTTTTTTGCTGACAATGTGCCTCTGACACCAGTAAAAAATATCAGAATAGTAGAAATTACAAGCAGAATAGAAAAGGCTTTGGTGAGAAAAACGATCCTTCTGCTCAACTTATATGCCTGGACTCACTTTCAAGTATGAAACTTTATTTGATGATCATCTCCATCTTAGAAATTGGAAATTGCAAGATATCAAATGTGAAAATAGTGAAAGGCGACAACGACACATTAAGAAAAGCTTTGTATATTATGGGTTTGAGGCATTCTTTGGAGTTTGAACAGAGGTGGACAAAAAAATGCCTAATTTCCAATTTGAAGCAAGAACAATTTTGTGGAAGAATAACTAAATCACCGCAGAGTAATCCCCCAACTATAAAAACTTTCATACATGATAAATCCAGCGGTTGTGATAACAGTCGGCCCCATGAAAACTTGAGGCAAAGTTCATTCTATCAAAATGCTACACTCAAAGAAGCATTTTTCGTTGAACAATGCCGTATAAGCTAAGTTGGTATATGTTGACGATGTCACAAGGGGTAGTGCTAACTTGGCTTAAGAATTATTTTTCCTTTTTCCTTTTTACATAACAAGTTAATTTATTGCAAAGGCATAGTGGCATTTCATCATGGCCCACCCCTCTGTGTAGATATTGTCCGCTTTGAACATTCTCTATGCTCAATGTTTTCAAAACACGTCTACAATCTACATTCTCAACCACATATATAAGTGCCAAAAACCTCTTCCCCCAGGCAATGTGGGATTAGATTGCCATTTGAACATGTATTAGGAGAAGCATTACTAGAATGTATGACATTCACAATCAAAATGTTGTAAAGTAATCATGTGTTATGAATTTAATTGAAATTGATAGACAGACGGTTGCAAAGGTCGAATAAACAGGAAGATGGTCCAGATGGACATACTAAAATTCAAGCTACAAAAAATTTGTATGAATATAACAAGACATACCTGTAAAAGATCTCCAATGTTAACCACTAAAGCTCCTGAAACAGGAGGAACATTGACCCAATGGTTTTGATGAAGAACTTGGAGCCCTCCGATATGGTCTTGAAGCAGTATGGTGAGAAAATCAGGATCAGAGTGTTTGCTAGTGCCTAGAGTCAGCTCCGGCTCAGGGCACGCCGGGTAATAGTGACTCAGAATTGTATGCCCCTTTGCGCAATCCATGCTAACAAGGTGGCCGGGTTTGAGCCCAAGTGCCTCCGACAGTAAACCAAACAAAGTAGTCCCTAATCTCTTAACTTGCTTTGAGTACTCCAATGTTGCATCTCTACATATTGAACATACCACATATGAAGCACACATGACTATAGTTTCAATCCCAAAGAATACATCTTCTAATGGTTGATTTCAGCCCTAAGAAGCTTAAAATCAAATCTGGGACTTCACCGGACCCCATAGGAACTACCGGGGACCAATCAATTCAAACCGTCTCTAACTTTATAAAGAGAAATCAATCAGCTGAACCATAGTTTCCATTCTTTATCTAACCACATTCTTTTTTCTTTTTTGTAGTTCTACATAACTCATCAGTTCCAATAAACAATTTCAGAATTTAGCATTACAGAGTACAAAGTGTATTATCATCTATATATCTTCTAATTATACCCACTAATTCAGAATAACATATATAGAATCCCCATCAATTATAATGTTGAACTATAGAAAGTTTTCATTTGTAATTAATCCAATTCAACCACTTTTAGCAAACTGGGAAACAAGTCCAACAACTAATTAAACAACCAATTCATCCATGGGATGAGAGAATGTTCCTGAATAATAACATTTATGATCTATATGAATCTCCAATCTTTATGTATGTATATATGGGTGACTACATATATATACACACACACGCATACCTGCAAGCCTGATGCAAGTCTAGTGGGTCAAGAGGGTCAGGACCCATAACACAGAACAAAGTGTCCCTCCAATTAGCAGACCGAGACTGATACAAATCAAAGTTACTCCCAAACTGCACACTCCTGCTGTTCCCCCGCGCGTAGAACTCCATCTTCACCTCCCTGGGAAGCTCGTGGAACTCACGCGCCGCCAGTACCATCTCATCCAACACACTCGCGCTTATCCCATGATTCACCACCTGGAAGAACCCCACCGTCTCGGAGGCCCGCCGGACTCCCGCCACAATAGCGGCCCGCTTTTCGACGGAAGCTCCGAGGTCTATCACCGGAATTTTGAATTGGGTATCTGAATTGGGATAGTCTCCGGCGAGTTCATCTGAGGGGCGGACGAACATTCCCGGGATCTTTTTGATTCCGGCATCGACGATGCCTTTCACACCGGCTCTCGACTCGTCGAACGCTTTTAGTTCTTGAAATCGGTTGTTGATCGGTGATGTTCTGCTTGAAACATCTACGGCGCCGGCGACCGCCATGTAAGGCTTCTTCAGAAATAGGAGTCACTGACGTTTTGTGTGCGATGTAAATTATACCAAACTCTCTCGGTAAGGCAAAAGAAGCCAACCAATTTAGCTGATTCTATTGCAATACAGTTCAGGTACGAGTTGAGGCATGTTTAGCTTTGAAGTAAAATGATTAACATATTAAAAAATTATTAAGTGAAGAAAATAATCCTGCAGACAGCCAGGTGTGGGTTGAAAATAGCGCCAACGTGACCACTAGAAAATGACACCCACGTGGTAGAAGGGGGCAGTAGAGAGATTGGGTGCACGCTGCACAGAGATCAGAGTATAACTAACCCTTTCCAGCCGATGCGTAAAAAGTTAAAAATAAGAACGATAAATAGGGTAAATAAAAAGGAAAAGTCTGAAAAACACAGTGGTTTAAAATTTGTGCTAATTACACCTTTTTAGTTAGATCTATTTATATAAATCTATACTATATATAAAAATGTGCATTTAAGCCACTTCCGATGACTATTCCGGTGAGAACATTTGATCATGTGCATGGCACATGATGCAATACCCCTAGGGGTATCACACATGACCATTTTAAAATATTTATTCCAGAATTATCCTTTTAATATTCTTTTACTACCCCTCACCATATATATATATATATATATGTATTTGTATATATTTATTTAAACCCTCTCTATCTCAATCTGCCGCTTCCTTCTTCTTCTTCCTTCCTTCTATAGAGTTGTGTGGCGTCCCATATATCCCACTGTAAGTACCCCATATATTATCTCTCTCTCCTTATTCTCACCCACACCCTCACCCTCACCCTCACCCGAACTACACCAAAACTTCTTATTTTCCACTGTCTGTTGCACTCTCTATTGTAGGTTCCCAATGGCATACTCTTCAAGTTCTGCAAATCGAAGCTCAAGTGGGCATGGTGAGAAAAGGATGTATTATTATTGTGGTTTAAAAACACCCATGAAGACCTCTTATACGAATAGGAACCCTGGCAGAAAGATCTATGGCTACCCAAATTACCCATCACCAACATGTGATTTTCATATGTGGGAGAATGAAGAAGTTTCTGATTACTAAAAGCATTTCATTTATGATCTTATATAAGAAGTTAGACAACATAAAAAAGTTAGATCTACAATTGGTGTTGACAAAGAGTTGATGATAGAGTTGGGGAGCTGCAGAACATGGTATTAGCAATGCAGAGGCAACTAGACAAAAAAATAGAGGAAATGAATTCAATGCAAAGAGAAATGGAGAGGAAAACAAATAAATGCAATTTCAACCTTTTGGCTGCTGTTGCGTATTTTCTTACTGGTCTTTTGGCTGTTTTTGTCATTTTAAGAGTTATTGTATGAGCTTTGCTCCTTGTGAGCTGGTTGTTAGATGGTTTGGGACTTTTGTTAAAGTTGTTGAATGAATGGGAAAAAAATGCAGCATGTGTTCTGTCAGTTTTCAAAACCTGTGTTTTGTCAATTTTTGGTTTAAAATCATGTATATGTTGCTTAGACAAAACCTGTGTTCTGTCAATTTTCGGTTTAAAATCATGTGTTATTTGGTTAAACACAAATGAAACATATAAATCATTCACATGCATTAACCTAAAACTATAAAGTCATTCACATTCATTAACCTGAAACCTGTATAATGGAAACCAAGTCACATGCATTAACAAATCCATTCGTACAAATGCGAAACCTGACCATATCTAGCCATTACATACAAATGCCAAAGTTGTTTATGACATACAAAATTCATAATTAAACCATCTTCAGAGGTTTAACATTACAAAAAAAAAAACCATTGCACAGCCCATTTAGTCCCATCTTCACAGGAACAAAAAAAATACATCTTCACAATTTAAACATTACCAAAATGTACCACTGCACAGCCCTTTAAGTCCTATCTCTACAGGAACACAAAAATACATTTTCATAGTTTAAACATTACCAAAATAAAACCACTGCACAGCCCCTAAAGTCCCTTCTTAATAGGAACACAAAAATACATCTTCAGAGGTTTAACATCAGCAAAAAAAAACCACTACATAACCCTTAAGTCCCATCTTCACAGCACCACAAAAAGCATCTTCACAACAACACAAAACCAAAAAAATATCATTACACAGCCCTAAGTCCCTTTTTAGTTTATGACCTACAAAGCAGTGGTAAGCTTTTTAGTTTATATTCAATTATATAGAGGTAAAAATTTGTATTATATAGTATTTATACCTGACTGCCATGTGCTTCATTCATTGAACTGCTCCCAACTTCCATCCTCTGCAGGCCCAATATTCCACCCCTTTGCACTCTAACTGTTCCAGCCCCCTCTGAGGTACCCTTTTTATGGAAAAGTAACATATTTAGTATATATATTCAATTTTATAGGGTTAATTTCAAAATAACTCATTTGTTCCTCCCATTTTCCCCTCTCTCAATTTTCACCCTTACACTAAAAGGATGGTAAAGTACAAAAACACAAAAAAAAAAAAAAAAAAAAAAAAAAAAATTGAACCACTTTTTCAACTTTGATAATGCTGAAAAGAAAGAAAAAGAAAAGAAAAAAATTGAATAGACCATCCAACCGAAGTAAATACCACCCAAGTCAATGCCAAGTGGTAAATCAATTAAGCTATTTACATAATTCATGAACAGTAATACAAAGATTACCTATATATATAAGATTGAATAGAAAAAAAAAAAATGACTGCCATGTGTTTGATTCATTGAACTGCTAATAACTTCCATCCTTTGCTGGCCCAATCTTCCACCTCTTTGCACTCTAACTGTTCTAGCCCTTTGTAGACCATCTGAGGTACCATTTTTATGTAAAAAATAACATATTTAGTTTATATATTCAATTATATATGGTTAATTTCAGAATAACTCTTTTGCTCCTCCCATTTTCCCCTCTCTCAATTTTCACCCTTGCACTAAAAGGATGGTAAAGTATAAAAAAAAATTGAACCACTTTTTCAACCTTGATAATGCTAAAAAGAATGAAAAAGAAAAGCAAAAAAGTAAATAGACCATCCAACTGAAGTAAATACCACTTAAGTCAATGCCAGGTGGTAAATCAATTATGCATTTTACATAAATCATGAACAATAATACAAAGATTACCTATATATATATAATAAAAAAAAAAAAGATTGAAGAGAAAAAAACCTAACTGCCATGTGCTTGATTCATTGAACTGCTCCTAACTTCTATCATCTGCAGGCCCAATCTTCCACCCCTTTGGACTCTAACTGTTCCAGCCCTTTATAGACCATCTGAGGTACCCTTTTTATGGAAAAAGTAACATACTTAGTTTATATATTCAACTATATAGGGGTAAAAATAAGTTTAAACGTAGTATTTATACCTGACTGCCAACTCTTCCAGCCTTTTGCAGACCTTCTAAGGTATGCTCAGAATCTCCAAACTTGTTACTAACAAATAAAGTTGTCCTGGGAATTGGTGGTCTTCTCCCCTTGCTTACTCTTTCTGTTCGTGGAGCTGGATCATTCTTACAACTTCTAGAATTATGTCCAACAACTTCTAGAATTCTTACTTTTCCTCTTTACACTCTAACTGACATACTAGAACTACCTTCAGTTGCAGCCTTTTTCCTTGCCTTCTTTGGCCTTTCAGTCCTCTTTCTAATAATTGATGGGTGAACTGGTCCTTTTCTAGAATTCACCATTTTCCTTAATGACAATGGCTTTATCACATGTGTATAGGCTCTGAGGTAAGTTTTCTTATGGTAATATGGATCCACATAGTCCTTAACATTATACCTTTTATAAATTATGGCTGTTACTGCATGTATGCATGGAATACCCCTTATCTGCCATTCATTACATGAACATGTTTTCTGTCTTAAGTCCACAGCCTCATTCAACCCCTTACTGTCAATCTCAAACAATCCATTCCCTGAATTATGGACATAGCACTTCTTTGCCTTAAACTTTGTTTTCTCCAATTCATCTTGCACCTTAGGACATAAAACTCCTTCATGCCTCTCCATCATCTCTCTATTCTCTTGGAATCTCTTCATCAAATACCTACGTACCATCTCAAACATGTAAATAATTGGTTTTTCCCTACCTTTTTTCAGTTGACTATTCCAGCTCTCACACATGTTATTGCTATTCAAATCACATTTTGAATAAGAAAGAAAACCACACTTTGACCACAAGTTGAATAGGATTTTATCCAACCAAGCATATGCATCAACATTGAGTCTCTTTATGGATTTCATGTGAATCTCAAAGTCCTCTACTGTGTATGCATTTGCAGCATTCCACACCTCTGCTTTTAGTTCCAAGTATTTCCACTTCTTTTTGAAGTTCTTATGAATATACCTCACACAAAACCTATGGTCATTGCCATCTGTAAGCTGCTCTAATGAATCAATTAATCCCTATAATAGTAGTAATAAACTTTGTTAGCATGATCAATAATAAAGAAAATAATATAAATTGATGACAGAAATGATTGCAATGATTCCTTCTGCCTATTAGAGATGAATGTGATTCCAGTGGGGGGACCAATGATTTTCATTAACTCATCAAGAAACCATGTCTATGTTGATTTGTTTTTAGCCTCCACCACCGCCATAGCAATTGGAAAATAGCTATCATTACCATCTCTTCCAACAGCACACGGTAACTGCCGTTGGTATTTGGTTTTCAAAAAACACCCATATAAGCCTACAAAAGGGTCTACACCTTTCTTTATAGCCCCTCCACAATACATTAAGGCAAAAGAAAAACCTTTTAAATCTAGTTTTACCTTCAATATCAAGCTCTGTCTCAATCTTTATTACACTCCCAGGATTAGTGGTCATTAGTAGATCACCATATTCATACACTTTGCTGAACTGATCTTCATGATTATCTTCAATGATCTCTCTTGCTTTTCCCTTCATTCTCCAAAGTTGGAATCTAGAAACACCAACTTCAAAGTCATCCTTGATTGCATCTTCAATAAGGGCATAATTCCAATCTGGATTAATTCTGAACTTATTTATGTGTTTTTTGGCAAGCAACGTAGAGGTGGCTTGTCTATTTCTATCAACTGAAGGGCAGTTAATATATGTAGGTGATAACTTCCTAAGCGTAAATGCCTTGGTAACACTATTACGGGAAACATGAACCCTCCAACCACATTTATTAGCACATA